GAGTCAGGTTTAAACTGTTTTTTATTAATAGGTGACATAAACCTATGTGTATATACTTCAGGGACAGGGTTTTGCTGTCACTCAGGCTGGAGTGCAATGGTGGAATCATAGCTCACTTCAGCCTCCAACTTCTGGGCTCAAGTGATTCACCCATCTTAGCCTCCCAAGTAGTTGGAACTACAGGTGCACACCACCACACTGGGCTAATTAATTTTTTTTTTTGTAGAGACAGGAGTCTTGTTATGTTTGCCAGGCTGGTCTTGAACTCCTGGCCCCAAGTTATTTTCCCATCCTGGTCTCCCAAAGCACTGGGATTACAGGCATGAGCCTCAGTGCACAGCCATGACCATTTATATTTATTGTTATGACATATATGTTTGGTCTAAACTCTATCATAATAGTTCATAATTATGTGTGCTACATTATACTTGTGTTCCTTTTTGACATGCATATCATTTGCTCTATTCTTTCAAAATTTGGGGGAATGTTTTCTATTGCTAAGTAATAAATTACCATGAATTAGCAGCTTTAAACAACATCCTTTTATTAAGTTACAGTTCTGTAGCTAACAAGTCTGGCACACCTTGATTGGATTATCTGCTTAGGAAAGATCAGAAATTACTGGTTTTTCCTTACACCAGATGTGCTGATCGGTATTTTAGCTGTTGTATTTTCATCTGGAGCTTGGGGTCATCTTGGAAACTCATTCCTGTTATTGACAGAATTCAATTCCTTTTGGTTGCAGGACTGAAGCTTCCATTTCCTTGCTTGCTGTCTGCTGGGGCCACTCTCAGCTTGCAGAGGCCACCTGTATTCCTTGTTAAAAGGTCCCATACATCTTCAAGCCAGCAACAGCATAAGAAATTCTTTTCATGCCTCAAATGTCTTGACTTCCCTGTTAACAGCTTGTTTTAAAGGCTTATGTGATTAGATTGGGCCCACCTGGATAATCTTGCTTTTGCCATTTAATATAAAATAATCAAGGTATGATATCTCATCAGCTTCATGGTCCTGGGAATTAGAGCAGGAATTCTAATAGTACCATGTTTAGGATTCCTTTTTAAAAATAGCTTTACTAAGATATAATTCACATACCATCATTTGCCCTTATAAAGTGATTTTTATATTCAGAGTTATGCATCCTTTCTCCTAAAAGAAACCCATACCTATTATATTAGCAGTCCCCTCTCCCACCAGGCTTGACAACCACTAATCTACTTTCAGTTTCTATAAATTAGTCTATTCTGGACATTTCATATAAATGGAATCATACACGTGGTTTTTGCAACTGGCTTCTCTCACTTTCATTTCAAGATCATCCATGTTGTAGGATCAGTATTCATTCCTTTATATGGATGAATAATTTTTTTTACATGGATATATCATATTTTACATATCCCATTCATCAATCGATGAACATTGGGTTGTTTTCACTTTTGACAACTATGAATAATGCAGATACAGAATTTGTATAAAAATGTTTTCATGTAAATATCTTTTCATTTCTCTTGGAGAAATGAAATCCAGAAATGGAATTGCTGGGCCATATGGTAACTAATCTTTTGAGGAAGTGCCATACTAGTTTTCTAAGCTGCTGTACATTTTACATCCCCATAAGCAGTGTATGATATCTCCACATCCTCGCCAACAATCGCTGTATCTGTCTTTTTGACTATAGCCATCCTGATGGGTGTAAAGTGAAATCACATTATGGTTTTGATTTGTATTTACCTAATGGCTAACGATGATAATCATCTTTATGTGTGGTCACTAGTCATCTATGTATCTTTGGAGAAATGTCTGTCCTGTTGCCCAGGCTGGTCTGCAACTCCTGGTCTCAAGCAATGCTTTTACGTTGGCCTCCCAGTGTTGGGATTACAGGTGTGAGCCACTATGCCAGCTACATTTTAATCTTTTTGATACTATTGTAAAGTGAATTGTTCTCTTAGTTTTATTTTTGGATCATTCATTGCTGGTGTACAGGGATATTTGTGTGTCTATGTGTATGTGTATACACCTTAGGATTTTTTTCTATATTCAAGATAATGTCATTTGCAAAGAGATAGTTTAACTTCTTCCTTTCCAAATGGATGCCTTTATTTCATTTTCTTGCCTAACTGCCCTAGTTAGAACCTCCAGTACAATGTTGAATATAAGTGATAAAAATGGAATTCTTACTGTGCAGACAAGAGTGAACATAGCAGGCCCAAGACAATAATCCTTAAAAGGGCCTGTTAATCGGGCTGCCAAAATCCTTTTGTTGTAATGAATCACAGCCACAAGTAGGACTATCTCCTGATTCCTGTAATCCTTATGTCAAATCATTGACTCTGGTGTGATCTTGGGGAAACTTGACACAATTTTTCTTCATGATTTTAAGGAGAAAGCTGTCAGTCTTTCACCATTACACATGATGTTAGATGTGGGTTTTTTATAGATCTCCTTTATCAGGTTGACAAAGTTCTATCTCTATTATATCCTATTTCTAGTTTGTTGAGTTTTTTTTTAATCATGAAAGGGCATTAGATTTCATCAAGTGCTTTTTCTTTATTAAGATGATTATGCAGTTTTGTCTTATTCTATTAATAAGTTGCATTACCTTAACTGATTTTTTTAAGTCACTGTTTTTTTTTTTTTAGTGACAGGGTCTTGCTATGTTGCCCAGCTGGACTTGAACTGGGCTCTAGTGACCCTCCCACTGCAGCCTCCCCAGTAGATGGAGGTAAAGACAAGGGCCACCATGCCCAGCTATTAATTGATTCTTATGTTAAACCACTCATTCCTAAATTACACTTGGTCTTGGACTTCTATTAAAAGAGACACAAATTTACAAAATCAACCAACCTTGCAAGCAGTGCTAAGTGCTATAAGGATAAAAGAAAAACCAGGATAAGGAAAGAGAGCAAGAAAGACGGAGGTTATTCGAACTATATTCAGGGAAGGTTTCTCTGAGGTAATGACATTTGATCAGAGATCTGAATGACCTGAAGAAGCCAGACATTCAGAGAAAGATAATTCCAGGTGTAAGGACTAGCAAATTTCAAAAGCCTTGAAGCGAACACATTAGTGTGTTTAAGGTACAGCTAGAAGGCCATGTGGTCAGAGTGAAAATAAAGTCAGAAAGAGATGGGAGCAGATCATACAGGGACTTGTAAGTCATGGTACAGGCATTTGGATTTTATTATAATTGTGATGGGAAGGCACTGAAGCATGCTTTTCAGCCTTCTTAAAAGACCTTTCTCCTCCGTGGTTTTCTGGCTAACTCCCATACATCTTTCAAAATCTAGCATCATCTCCTCTGTGGCATGTTCTTTTAACTTCCCTGATAAGATCAGTCCCCTCCTCTGTGACATCTCTGAGTAACAACAGATTACTGACCTCTTTTCACAATCCTAGGGGCCTCATTTTTTTTTTTTTCACAGAACTGTCTTTTTCATATTTTAACCTCACAGTCTAACATACCGGTGAGTACCAAAGAAACGTTCGATAAGCCAGGCACAGTGGCTCACGCTAGTAATCCCAACAGTTTGGGAGGCCGAGGCAGGTGGATCACCTGAGGTCAAGAGTTCGCGAACAGCCTGGCCAACATGGTGAAACCCCGTCTCTACTAGAAGTACAAAAATTTCGCTGGGCGAGGCAGGAGAACTGCTTGAACCCAGGAGGCAGAGGTTACAGTGAGCAGAGATCGCGGCTTTGCACTCCAGCCTGGGCAACAAGGGCGAAACTCTGTTTCAACACACACACACACACACACACACACACACACACTCACAAACAACAACAACAAAAGAAACGTTGGATGAAAGAAAAACTCATCCAGTGGTGCAAGATTGGATTCCTTTACGACCCGAGGTAATTGTCGCCCTGGGAAGTCAGCTGCATCACTTCCCTAGAGGAAGGACTTAGGTTTCAGGGATAATACCCTGGCTGAGAACGCCTTAGGTGCTTGCTGTGTCCCCTTTGCACGTCTTTGCCCATCCTTCCTGCGTGGGACCTTGCGGGGACGGTGAGTGGGGGAACCTTCAGGCTTCCCAGCACTGCCTCCGAACACTCCCGGCAGACCCTTCCCCGGCCTAATGACAAACCGGGTCCCTCACTTTCCTCCGTAACAACAGCAGCGATGTCCACTCCTGTTCAGGGGCCAGCGTCGCGCCGCCCACCCCGCACCTCATCCCTCCGCTCCTCCTTCCTTCTCCTCCATACCCTCTCGGCATCGGCCTCCCACCCCTCACCTAGGATGCGCGTGATGCCCAGGGTCAGCTTCTCCAAGTGCGGCTTGCTGCAGCCCTGCGGCGGGGGCGACGCCTTCTCCTCCATGGCTCGCGTCCCCGATCCGCGCGCGGCGGGAGCTGGCGGAGGGTCGGACCCCGCCTCAGCGCCTCGGCCAGGTTCACGGCATGCCGGGAACTGTAGTTCCCGGCGCCTGAGAGCGCGGCGCTGTGGTGATGGGCACCCGGGGCTGGTCTGACAGCAGCAGCTCCGCGGGGCGCCAGTTCACGCGGCCCCGTCCGGTGCTCCGCACCGCACCTCCAGGACGCAGCGTCCCTTTTGCCTCAACCCTCTCGCCCCGCAGGGGCCGGCCGCGCAGGCGGGGGCGGGCCTCTGAGTGGTGCGGCCAATGGGGACCGCGCTTGCAGGCCGGGGCGTGGCGGCCCCGGCGCGACGCCCCGAGTGGCGGTTGTTTCAAGATGGCGGACGTGGCGGGCCCCTCCCGCCCCGGCGTCGCGGCGTTCTGGAGCCGGGACTGTATCCTTTGCCCGCCTGGCAGGGGGCGCCGGCGCCCTCCCCCGTGGCGGCTAGGGGCGAGCGGTCGCGTGGCAGTCTGAGTGCGGAGGAGAAGCTCCGAGCTAACCCTGGTGGCGGGGACGTGCTGCTCAGCCTCAGTCTAGGTGCTCGGCTTTCCCCTTGCTTGGGTGTTAGGTAGCGGAGAGACTGGTACTGTCTCCAGGTGCCGGGACGCGGCGAAGATGCTTCCCTGCCCTCACTAGCGGTGAGCGAGAAAGATAGCCTCGAGTCCACGCTCCGCCTGGGGCTGGGCGGGTTCTCCGAGGTCCCTCTGCCCACCCTCTCGGAGTGCCCGGAGGCCGACTGAGTGTGTGGAGCGAGCTCGAGGTTGTGGGAGTAGTGGCTGTTGGCTGGATAGGGAGCCTTTTTGTTTTGATTTAGGACTGTCCTTAGTCTGCATTGCTAGGAGCAAGTCAAGACCTTGTCGGACTTAAAAGGCCCTCCTGTGATGACGTATTTTAGGGGAGCTGTGGAGCTTGGTTACTGGGATGTGGTCTATTGGTGCTAGTTACTGTGTATGATCGGAATCATTGTGCCTGGAAGTATTGTTGACTTTGTTGTAGAGTGTGGGTCAGTGGCAGGCATTGAAGTTCTTGGATCGTTGTGAGATGGAGAAGCAGTGGAACTTTTTAGTCCAGTGGTAGTGTTACCAGTTCAGCAGCTGTGATGAGATGTTTGTGTGACAGCAGTGTTTCTGTCCCTGGAGTAGGTAGACTGTTCTCGCTTGAGGTTTGGTCCTGTTAATTCACTTCATGTTCCTTAGAGGAGTTACTTGAAAGAGGGAGGGCAATCAGTGTTACCGAGTGCTTTCAGAGGCAGCTTTTTCTTTTGACTAGGATTGGTGATGGCATTAAGGTATTGCAGTTACCTTTGGTAGAATCATTCTTCGGGCACTCTTCTAAACTCCTGGTGAAACGTACAAAAATGTGTCATCAACTCCTCTGCTGAGTACTAGGATTAGTGTCATGTGTGGAGAGAGGGATATGTTTGTATTGTGTGCTGAGCAGGTGTTTAGTGTTTGCACTTAATAAACATAATTACCATTTGTCTCTGATAGGTTGGTGAAAAGCAAATGAAATCATGAACATACACTGGATGAACGCTTACTAGTGCGGTGTGCAAATTAAACATTTTTTCCTTTACCTCTCAGAAGAGAATATGTGCACCGTGGACAAATGGGCTGAATTAGGAAGTTAGTAAATTGGGATAAGTCTTTTCTCAAGAAACACTGCTTTTGCATTAACAAGATTTTGTGATAGAGGAGATACTTGAAGGTTATTAGCTTATGGTATTGTTCAAATATAGAATTAATGATGAGGAGGGACAAGCTATTGCAATGGGACTAAGTTACTTAATAGATATATGGACTGAACCTATGCTCTTGGTCTTCGCACCCAGTAACTGCACTTACTCATGTAGTTATATCACTCGCTATTTTATATAGAAGTCATATATACTCCCTTATCTCTTGTATATTCTCGGACTCTCAACATTTAATGTAAAATACTCATCTTCTCATTGATAGGAATTGAAATTGTACAGGGGAAAAATGATGATTATATCCTATGAGATCTAATTCAGATGTGTGAAAGGCATTGCAAGGTTACTAGTGTCACCTTTTCCCCCAGCCTATTCCACATAATGACCAGTTAGCATCAAACCTCAGATATTTTCATTTTAAATTTCTATAGAGAATGTCACTGTTAGCAATGTCAAATGTAAATTTGTTGCTGAACATTTGCTGAAAAGCGTAATGATAGTTATTAATAATTTGATTTAGTTACATGTCTTTGGATCTTGATCCCTTTGTCATATTATTTCCCAGACCACCCTAGAGCCTTTATAGTAGAATTTTCAATAGAAAAATTTCAAAAAGTATGTACCTTTAATCTGGTATTCTTTTCACATTATTGAAAAAAGATTTTCAATTCTTCACCCAAACAATTAGAGAAATGCAATTGAGAGATTCCTTAATCCTTGATGATTCCATCATGAGAGGACAGATTATCTGACTGCATGTCCCCCACTTTTTGTTTTAACTGTTGTTTTTGTGAGTTATACATCTCCTGCACAGTATGATTCAGCAGTGCTGTTTTGCACAAGGTATGTTTTAGTACTGCTTGTGTAAACAATGAGTGTGTAGTGTTGTCATTTTATGGGTTAAATCTTCCAGCAAAATATGTTCCTTCAGTTGTAAGTTGCCCTTCTCCTTCATTACAGTATCTAGTAATGTCAGAGTGAGTGAGGGCTTCTGTAGTACCTAAATTTGACTGCTTAAATGCACTTTAGCATATTACCATTAGCAATGTCAGGAACTTGATATTAAAAAATATGAACTGCAAGTGACTGGGTCAAAACATTACAATATAATCTCTGCTGTTAAGTTTTCAAATGGAAAGAAAGACTTTATGTTGATGTAAAAATATATTAGCCCAAAAAGTCTCTGTGGTTGATAATAATTACATATACATGTATTGTTGGCAAAACTCAGCAGCTTAGAATAGAATGGGCAGTACTCAGCTTATGTCCTTCAAATCTTGGAGGTCTGGGATAGAGGTGCATCTTCCTCTGTACCACTTCTGCTCTGGGTTTCTAATTACAGTCAGCCCTTTGTATCTGCTGATTCATTCAAATGTGGATGGAAAATATTTGAGAAAAAAGATAACACAACAATAAAAAGTAATACAAATTAAACTATACAATGTAACTACTATTTATATAGCATGTACATTGTTTTAGGTATTATAAATGATCTAGAAATGACCCACTCGTAGGTCCGCTATACATTTGGTATATAATATGTCTGTTTGACTTCCCCATGAAATATACATTTGTTGGGAAATTCTACATTTGAAGAAGGTAAATACTTGGATTCTTAATGTAATGAGATGAATATACATTACAAATTTTAGAAAGGATAGAGGCAATATCAAATATTGTTATTTAAAAATTTTTGAAGCCAGTTTAGAGTTTTATATATTTGCAGAGGACTTTGGCATGGATGTAGCTGAAAATAAAAGATTTTGCCTGCATATTTTGAGTCAGATAGAGAAAGATAACATTGAAAATTGTTGGACAATGCATCATAAAATTAAATAAATATCAATTTTATTCTTTCATAGATGGCTTATTATAGAACCAGGCATTCTTTTATGTTTGAGGTTACAACACTGAACATTTGTGCTTACATTTTAGTGAGATGAGATCAGGTCATGAATAAGTAAATATATGTCCAATTATTATTGGTTCTGTGGAAAAAATAGAAGAAAGGAGAAAGTTGTAGGGGGAGGCAGGTAGGTTGCAGGAAGAGAGAGTTTTGCAATTTCAAGTACCTACATGGTTAGGAAGTGAATGCTTCAATCAGAAGGTGACATGACATCATGACATATGATGTAAGTCCTAAAGTGAGCCATGAAAATATTTGGGGAAAGAGCTTCCTGGGTAAAAGAAATCATGAATGCAGAAGCTGTGAGGTAGGAGCTTGCATAGCTTGTTAGCAATTGTAAGAAAGCTAGGAATGAGTGAGGAATAGTAGTAGGGAATGAGGTCAGAGATGTTACAAGTTATAGGGATCAGATCTTGAGGATTGTAGGCTGTTGTTAAAACTTTGGCTTTTAATCTAAATTGAAAATGGCATTAGTATTAAAATGATGATTCTAACCACTGTGTGAAAAAATAGGCTGTTGAGGGAACGTACACAGAAGTGACAGAGAGCAGTTAGGAGCTTATTGCGATAATCCTGGGAGAGGAACAGTTGACTTGGATCAAGGTGACAGTTGAAAATTGTGTGTTATAATCACAGCCTTTCTAAATTTTTCCTTTTGAAATTTAAAATAGTTATTTTTGTCTTAAATTTCTTCTACTCTTTAAATAGTAGGGCTTCTTGGGATATTTTATTAATGTACTGTAGAAGAATAAATATTGTCTTTGTGTTTGCATGATTGATTTGCCCTCAGTATTTGTTCTTCAAAGCTGAAGCCCATCTTGAAATTATTTACTCTTCAGAATTGTCAGTTACCCAATAATGACCAAACTGGAGCACTTAACTTTTTGTTTTCAAAAGGAAAGGAAACTAACATCAGAGTATATATTGCAGGGTAAACCACTTGACAGTGAGAGTGGATGGAAGTTTCATTGAACAGTACCTTCCAAGATTTTTATAAGACCTGTAGTTGTGAATATATGAAGATGAACTTTTAGAGAATAGTAATTTTGCTATATTTAATTCAATTACTTTACTTTCTAAGTTTGGTTTTAAAAGTTAGTTCTAAATTCCCAGGTCAAAAGAAATGATGAATTATAAGAGGTATACAGAACAGAAGCAGCATTTGGATGCTGGATAATCTTATTGTATTTTCCTTCATGTTCTCCTACATAGTTTCTGATGAAGAACAATCAGTAGTGTACGTTCCAGGTATGATTTTTTTCTATGCTAAAAGTTGGGAAGCTTCCTTTGATCCTTAATTGTTAGAAGAAAATAAAGCTATTAGGACAACGTTGCAGGCGTAACTAACTAGATGCAGAGCAGAACATCAAAACCTAAAACTTGTTTTTGAATATTTGGCATAACCCTAAGTTTTGAAATACTGGCTCATCTTTGGGATTGGCTGGGCTAATCAGATTTTAATTAACTTGTACAACACTTCATGTGGTAAGGGGCAAAAGATTCTTATTTTTTCTTTTACAAATGATGACCAAATTTAATATTTCAAAGAAAAGTATACCACTTCTTGATACAGGGTATAGGTAAGACACACTTAAAGTTTAATGGTTATAACTCGATGTTAGTAAAACAACCATTGAAAGCACCCTAATTATATAGGGTGAAAAATATATTTGATTTCCACTAAGTTAATGTATATTTGGCATATTATAATTTATTGGTTTTAATGTGACTTATGAACATTTACAATACCCTTTAAAAATATTTCAGTTAAGCTGGACATGGTCACATGACCCTGTAGTTCCAGCTACTCCAGAGGCTGAGGTGGGAAGATCACTTGAGTCCAGGAGTTCGAGTCCAGCCTGGATAAACATAGGAAAACCCTGTCTCTTTAAAAACATAAAAATAAAAACAAATTTCAATTGAATCTTTAGTGTATTTCTTTAAAACATATTCTTTTTATGATTCATATATTAAGAGCTTTAAAATTAAGTTTATAAAGTAAGAGGCTTTCCTCCATCAGGTCCCTTAAAGTGGAGAATTCTAAGGAAGGAGTTTTGATGGGGCAGGGTTTAAGAGAATAAGATATAATTTTGAAATCTTGTTTAATGGACATCCTTAGGAATTTCTACTGAAGGAAATGTCAGATCAAGACACAAGCTGTTGAGTCCAAAATTTGATGTTAAACTTAAGACTTCCAGGGCGACCGAAGCTTTAGTCTCCATGGAGTCCTTAAAAGGCGCAGGAGATTCAGTAAATGAACAGGTTGGTTATTTTTCTTCTTTTTTTCCTTATTCTCCCATCTTTGTAAGTGCTGACCAAAAAGGGTAGAAGAACATTTGAAAGTATGCTAGGTGACCAACAAACATTATTAAAAGTTACAGAGGATTCCAGGATCCTTTGATGATGCCAGGTTTGAGCCTAAATTATCTAGATTACTCAAGGGTTTTGCTCCAATACGTCTGACTTGGTTTAAGATTTAGCCACAATAATGTATTATCTTGGTATGTCTCAAAAGACCTACATTCTGATCTGTGTGGCATTAGTAAATCAAACTGATGAGAATTGTTTTTTAATTAGACATCCTTTTGGATTTTTATTTTTGTGAATTTATTTGATGGATGAACCCTTTTGCATAAGAAAGATATTTTGTTTAAAAAAATTAACTCTCATTATTGTTTCCCTCACTTGGAAAATAATATAAAGATTCCTACTTTTGAAACTTTATGATATCTTTCTTACTATTACGATGCCATGTTACCGATTTGTATATTGTAAAGATGAGGGACAAATCAATGACTGGGCATAGTAATAATATTGGTGCATTCCATTGGCACATGTCCTATCTGACCAGTTTATTTTACTTTAATTTTTGTTATATTTTCCCTCTGCAGAGTTGGGGTCAGGCTTTGGAATCTATAACCTGTGAACCAAATCCTTCTCCTACCTGTTTTATAAAGGACTTTTGGAATACAACTGTGCTTATTCTTTTATGTAATTGTCTATGGCTGCTTTTGTGTTACAATAGCAGAGTTGCTGCAGAGACTGTGTGCCAACAAGCTGATAACATTTACTATCAGACCTTTTATAGAAAACTTTTTACTCTGTAAATTATATTCTCAAAGATATTTCCAGTGCCTCTTTTATTACTACAGGATTTTACTATGATTGAATCAAATGGCCTATTTTATGTTACTTGCACGAGTGTACCCACTTCACACTGGGGTGTGAATAGTTGAATTTGCAAGTTCTTATCAAAAGTTGAAAATGTTTTTTCACATAATTGTTGATTTGCTTTACGTTGAACAATGTAGCCTTATTTTGGATTAAGTTCATATTTTTGTCCTATTGGCTGTAACTTTTGATTGGGTTATTTCAGTGGCTTTTTTAGAGATTATACTACACATCCTTAATTTATCATAGCCCATTATCAAGTGACATTTTCCCACATCACCTATAGTTTAAGGACCTTTCAACATTGTACTTTATATCTCCCCTCCTGACTTTTTTGATATTGTTGTAATATATTTTACTTATATGCACAGACCCCAAAATATGTATTACTTTTGCTTTAGTCACTGTCTTTTTTTTTTCAAATTGAGATATGATTCATATATAAAATTCACCTTTTTAAGTGTACAATTTATTGTTTTGTTTTGATTTTATGTGTGTGTATATGTTCACAGAGTTGTGGATCCATCATCACGATCTGGTTTCAAAACATTTTTGTCACTCTAGGAAGAAACACCATACCAATTAGCAGGCACTCATCATTCCCTAGTCATCTCAGCCCCTAGCAAACCCTAATCTGCTTTAAGTCCCTATAGATTTGCTTGTTATTGACGTTGCATATAAAAGGAAATCACATGATATGTGGCCTTTTGTGACTGACTTCTTTCATTTGGCATAATGATTTCAAGGTTCATCTGTGCTGTATTATTACTTCATTCCTTTTTATGTGTGAATATACATTTTGTTTATTCATTTATCAGCTAATGGATGTGTTCTTTTTGGCTTTTATGAATAATTCTGCTTTGAACATTCATATACAAGTTTTTGTGCAGACATATATTTCCAGTTCTCTTGTGTATATACCTGTAAGTGAATTGCTGTGTTATATAATTTTATGTTTAACCTTTTGACAAAATTCCAAACTATTTTATAAAGTGGTCACACTATGTTACACTCCACTAGCAATGTATGAGGATTTAAATTTCTCCACATTCTTGCCAACATTTATGTCCATTTTTTTTTTGAGAATGGCCATCCTACTGGGTGTGAAGTGATATTTAATTGTGGTTTTGATTTGAAGTTCTCTAATGACTAAATGATGATGAGCATCTTGGCTATTTGCATACCTTCTTCAGACAAATATCTGTTCAATCCTTTTTTAACTGAATTATTTGTCTTTATACTGTTATGAGTTTTTTCTAAATTCCATCTACAAATACCTTATCAGATACATTATTTGCCAGTATTTTTTCTCATTCTGTGCATTGCCTTTTCATTTCTTTATTGGTGTTCTTTGAAGCACAAAAGTTTAAAATTTTGATGAGGTTCAGTTTATCTAGTGTTTTCTTTTGTTTCCTGAGCTTTGATGTCATATCTGAGAAATTGCTGCCTAATCCAAGGTCACAAATATCTGTGCCTATATTTTTTTTCTAAGAGTTTTAAAGGTTTAGCTCCTACATTTAGTTCTTGTTCCATTTGAGTTAATTTTTGTATATGGTGTGAGGTGGTAACTTAACTTTATTATTCTGCATGTAGCTATCCATTTGTCCCAGCACCGTTTGTTAAAGGTGTTCTCAGCACACTTGTGAAACATCTGTTGACCATAAACGTAAGGTTTATTTCTGGACTCTATGTATTCTACTCCATTGATTTTTATTTTTGGAATTAGGAAGTATAAGTCCTCTAACTTCTTCTTTTTCAAGATTGTTTTGGCTATTTTGGGTCCCTTGTGTTTTCATAGGAATTATAGAATCAGCATATGTTTTATACTTTTGATGTTATTAGAAACACAGTTGTTTCAGAATTTCACTTTTGGATTTTTCATTGCTGGTATATAGAAATTCAGTTGATTTGTGAATTAATCTTGTATCCTGCAACTTTATTGAACTCAGTGTTTCTAATCTAATAGTTCTTTTGTGAATTCCTTACCATTTTTTTCTATAGAAGATGAAGTCATCTGTGAATAAAGATAGTTTACATATTCCTATTGGATACCTTTATTCCATTTTGGATGTATTTTGTTTTAATTGTCTTTTAAAGACATTTTACAAATGCAGCAGAAGTCTTTTAAATCTATTCATATAGCTACCATTTCTGGTGTTTTCATTCTTTCATGTGTATCCAGATTTCCTAAAAGACTTCCTTTAACATCAGTGCAGGTATGCTAGGCAAGAATTTTTTCAGCTCATGTATACCTGAAAAGTCTTTATTTCTCTTTCCTTTTTAAAAGATATTTTTACTGGTTGTAAAATTCTGAGTTAATAGTTTTATTCATTCAGTGCTTTAAAGACATTGCTGCACTGTTACCTGGCTTATATTGTTTTTGAGAAGTTGGCTATCATTTTTATTCCTCCTTATTTTTGCGTGTGTAGGTGTTTTAAATATTGGCTGCTTTTAAGATTTTCTTATTACTGGTTTTGAGCAACTTGATTATAGTATACCTATCTCTTTTGTTTGAGATTTGTTGAGCTTTTTGGGACTGTGGATTTATAGTTTTCATTAAATTGGGAAATTTTTCAGCCGTTGCTTCTCCAGATATTTTTGTGTTTCCCTCTCTTTCTAGTAACCTTAGTTACAGAAATGCCAGGCCTCTTGAAGTTACCCTCTCAGCTCTCTGATCCTCGGTTAATATTTTTTTCATTAAATTTTTTTTTTGTTTATTCTTGGATAGTTTGTATTGCTGTTGCTGTGTCTTCAAATTCAATAATCTTCTGCAATGTCTAATCTGCTACTAATCTCATCCAGTGTATTTTTCACATGAAACAATATAGTTTTATCTCTAGAAGTTCAGTTTCAGTCTCTTATTTTTATTTACATCTTCCATGTCACTACTTGACATGCCCATTCTTCTATGTACTTGAACATATGGAACATAGTTATAATAACTGTTTCAATATTCTTGAATACGAATTCTGTCATTTGTGGGTAGATTTCAATCGAGCCATTTTTCTCGTAATTATAGGCTGTATTTTTCTGCCTCTTTGCCTGCTTGGTTGTTTTTTATTGGATGTCACAAGAAAGTATGAGACAGTGATAAGTTGGAAGTAATTTGATTCTTTCCCAGCTTGGTTTTGAGCTTTTAAAGGTGGTGCCAGAGCAGCTTTTAGTAAGAGGTAATTTTGCCGATTGTATGCCATACCCTTTTGAATGCTCTTCCTGGTGCCCCTTAAATTACAAGGTTTTCAACTCTGGCTGGTGGGAACAGACTGTTCTTTAAGCTATATTGGCTACAGAAATTATCGCCACTGCTTTTTTTGGGCTCTTTCCCTGGCATGAGTAGTTTTCTCACATATATATGCTGGTCAGTACTAAGTAGTTGACACAAAAGCATTCTTCAGATCTCTAGAGCTCTCTTGTGCTGCTCTATCTTTGCCATTACTTTGCCCTGCAAACTCTAGAAATCTTGGCTTTCCTGGACTCCCAGTTCTATGTTTTCATCTCAGGGAGACTTCTGGGCTCTGTCTGGGTTTACCTACCTTAGCCCTGAAAACTCTCCACAGCAGTTAGCTGGGCCAGTTTTAGGATCACCTTATTTGGTTCTGTAATTTCAATGATCATAATTCTGTTTTGCCTGCTATCCAATGAAAACTATTGACCCTTATCTTTTGTCAGGTTTTTGTTTTGTTTCTGAAACTAGGGTAGATCTAGTCCCTGTTATTCCATCTGGGCTAGAAGAGGATTCCCTACATGGGAGGTGTATATGTGTATGTATGCTTTCTCTTAAGACTGGAAATGGTGGTGTGCTTTTTTTTTTTTTTTTTTTCTTTTTTTCATTGAAGAGCGTGTCATGTGATTTTTTTTTTTTTTTTTTTTTTTGAGATGGAGTCTCGCTCTGTGGCCTAGGCTACACTGCAGCTCACTGCAACCTCTGCTTCCCATGTCCCCGGTTCGAGCAATTCTCTTGCCTCAGCCTCCTGAGTATCTGGAATTACAGGAATGTGCCCATGCCCAGCTAATTTTTGTATTTTTAGTAGAGACGGGGTTTCACCATGTTGGCCAAGCTGGTCTTGAACTCCTGACCTCAGGATCTGCCCCCCTTCGGCCTCCCAAAGTGCTGGGATTGTAGGCGTGAGCCACCATGCCTAGCCATCTTGTGATTTTTTTTTTCTGTGTGTAGTTTTTGTTGGTATTGATGTTCAGTATCCTTAATTCATTAAGGTTTTCACAGTGGTAATTAAGTCAGTTCAAGTCTTCTGGGAAGCAGACAGCAAGATAGAATTAGGAATGCAAGAGATTTAATGAAGGAAAAACCTGTAAAGCATTAAGAGTAGAATGAGTAGGGATAGAAAGGAGGAGTCTTCAGATTTCACCACAGCGTGACACCTGTGAGAGGAGACATAAAGAAGGAAGGAAGATTGACTAGGAAGAACCTCAGCCTTCAGACTGCCATGCAATCTGAGATAGTGTCCGTTTTGCTAGTGTGGAACCCCAGAGCAAATACTGCCTTTTGAGGATGCCATTTGGATCAGAAATAGCTCAGTTCTAGTGTTTCTACTGTCATTGGCATTGGCATGAACACTGCAGTAGATCCCGAAGGTTTGCAACTGGAAGCTGTTAGATGATTATACTCTGCAGCAAGTTCCCTCTCTCTTTTGCGGCCATATTGCTTTATTTTTCACAGTTTAAGTCTGCTATTCATCAGGAAGTAATATGCACATGTAGTGCAAAGCAAGGGTCACAGTTCATATTTTCGTATTGACTGTTGGCCCAGTACCATCTATTGGGAAGAGCATTCTTTTCTTCTCTGAATTGCAGTGATGCCATTGTTGTAAGTCAAGTGATTATAGAGATGTGACCTTCCCTCATCATATCTTCTTTGGTAATTCCTATCCTGAATTTTATATTTATAATTCTTTGATTTTTCTATATCAGGGGTTGGCAGACTTTTTCTATAAATTGAACAGCTAGTAAATATTTTAGTCTTTGCAAGCCATAACATCTGTCTCAACTACTCAACTGTGCCACAGTAGCCTTAAAAGAGCCATAAACAATATACAAATTAATGAGCAAAGCTGTTTTTTAATAAACCTTTGTTTACAAAAACAGGCAGTGGGCAGATTCATCTTGCAGCCATGGTTTACCAAGCCCTGTCCTATATAGTGCAAATACATTTTTTAAAAACAGGGTTTAATTTCATATGTATTTGGAACTTTATAGAAATGAGCTCATATCCATTTGTATTGTATGATTTTCTTTTTTATTCCATATTATGTTTATGAGATTTCTTTTTTACCTCTGTGGCTCTTCCAACATTACATGAGATTTCTTTATGGTTTATGTAGTTATATTTTATTTCTTTTCACTGATGTCTCAGGGTTTAGTCAGTTATTTTAACAGAATATTTAAAAGAAAAAATTGTTGAATAGTGCTAGAGAACCAAAAAGGCAAAAAAGGAACAGTAAGGTATCATGAAAGTAGTAACTGTACAAAACAACCACAACCTCTAGAACTGGATGAGAGGGCAGAATAAGTTGGAATTATTAAAACTTAGAAGCTTAAAGGAGAGGCCCCTTAAAGCTACAACTTGGACCTCTGGTGATGGGACACCAGCCTGGCTGCTACTGCCATTCCTGAGGAGGCCTGATAAAGGGCGGGTCTGTAAGGGCTGGCAAAAAATTGCAAACTGGAATCATCAGTACTTGCCAGGGTGAGGAACTCAGGGATGACACTGTCAGTAACAACAAGGAAATATCCTTTCTTTTTTCTTCCTGGGCTTCATCTGGTTCTTTGTGTTGGCAGAGTTCAACAGAGAGCCAGGTGGCAAAGTAGAAATGGTGTTTCCAGAGTCTTAGCCTTAGCATCTCAAAGCAGAGGATGGGAGGGTAGTTTTGAGGGGGAAAGTTAGTAGCATAACTCCTAGTACATGTAGAATTTCATTGTATAAATATGCCAGACATTAAGTTTTACTATGCTCTACTTAATAGACATTTGTGTTTCAGATTTTTGCTGTTGTAAACACAATGCTGCTAAAATTTTTTTTGGCCCATGTGCAAAGATTTCTCTTTTGTTCTTTTTACTGACTGCATCACTAACGAAATGTCTTTTCATGGATTATCAGCAGTTTCTACCATTGCCAAATCCAGTACCTTCTTCCCCCAGTCTATTTATCTTTTTTAATCATTAGCACTATTGACCCCACTCTGTTCTTGAAACTTTTTTCTTCTTTTCTACTATAATGTTATATGCTTCTGATTCTCCTCTTGTCCTTTCAAATGCCACTTTAAATTAAATTAAAATCAAATTAATTAAATTGAAATGAAAATCAAATGCCAGTTTTCTTGGACTTCTAGATGATTTTTAAAATACTAATATTTTTTCTTAATTTTAAATATTATAGTTATTAAAGAAAAATTTTAAACATAGACAAGTAAAAAGGATAATAAGAAAACTCAACATTATTCATAATACCATGCAACTGACTTTTAAATCTTTATGATTTTCTCTAGCTTGAAAGCTAGACCTACCTTTCCAGCTTCTGCCTAAACATTTCTACTTGAATGGTTTGCTGACATCTTACATTGAGCATTTCTAAAACCAAATTAATTTTATTATCACCTTCTTTTCTCTATTTTTTTTTTTTCCTACTCTCTTTCCCATCTTTGGCTGTTACTATTTCCAGGATTCACTTTTGGAGCTTTCAGTTATTCTTGGCTACCTGAAATAATTGGACTAACAACTTTGGTGGTTGCACAAATGCCAAGGATTATAGTTCCTTTCTGTTACATATTACCTCCAGTTCCTTTGTGACTCCCTGAGTTTAATGTCTTTAAGGACCCCTCTTAACGATGCTGAGGTACTGGGGAAAACTTTCTGTAGCACAGAAGATTAAGATAGTATGGTGTTTAAAGAGCACAGACTCTGGAAACTGTGTTTGAGTCTTGATTCTGCTATTTAATTGCTATTGACTCAAACTGTGTTTAAGTCTTGATTCTGCTATTTAATCCTTGATATGTACCCTTAAAGTAGAAAAGGAATAGTAACTATTAACACTTAATAGTATTGTTATGAAAATGAAATGGAATAATAAGTAAAAGTACTCACAGTGTTCCTGGCATGGAATGAGCACCAGATGTAAATGTTAGCTATTGCTGTTATTACTCTTTGGTTTAGTACTCTCTGGAATGAACATTTTAGGGTATTTTGAAAGCTTAGTACCTGGTGCCTCTGTTGCTAACCTTAGTATACCCTTAAGCAGCATGGGGTATAAAAGCAGTACTCAGTATCTTCTGTTGAGTGTGTGTTTCTGTGACATTCACAAAGGGAAACTTCTTTTCCTAATATACCCTAGTATTTAAGTGGGGACATTTTCTGCTTTTAGTTTCTTTCTGTGTGCTTCTCTATGTAAATCTCATGAAGTGTCCTAGTGGACAGTCAGTTCCTTAGCCTGTTTTTAGTTCACAGTAGGTTTAAATTGAAACAGGTAGATAATGTTCCACCAGATAAAAGATACCTAAGAAATTTTACCTTGTACCTAGGTTTCTTGAAAAGACTTTAAAAATTGTTTTTAGAAAAAGTGTAACTCAATTTTTTTTTTTTTAGAATTCCTGCAGGGGAGAAATAAAGAGTGCATCACTGAAGGATTTATGTCTTGAAGACAAAAGACGCATTGCAAACTTAATTAAAGAACTGGCCAGGTGAGACAAAACCTTATATGAAATGCGTTATTATACAAAAGACAACTCTTATTAGAAACAGAAAATTGCAAATATATTTTGATGACTTAATATCTTTGATCTTATGGTAGCAAAGAGTTTTAGAAAAAAGATGTTCTGTGATGCCAAAATCCTCCCCAAAAGGTTTAAAAAGAAGCATCAAAAGCAAACTACTTTCCAATTTATATTTTCTTATTTACTTAACTTTCCAAATTGTTTGATGCAAATATTTGTAGCAGTCATCGATGGAGGGAAGCTTTGGAAACTACTGTTGAAGTAGGTTGATCTTGTTGTAATCAGAGGCATAGCAGTTACCTTTGATTTTTCTTCAGCATCTGAAGAGAAAATACTTCATTCACAAGAATATCCATTGTTGCCTTGCTAACTCCTAATGCTTTTCAACTAATGGATTTTGAATTTTGATAATGACACTTCTTAGCTGTTTGTGAATACTATTCCAGTTTATTAATGATGTGTATGAGGCACTTCTACTTTGTATGTGTAATTTCTTTGTCAAATATACATGTCCAGTTTTGAGGGTCTTAAAAAGTACTTAATAAATGAAGATATCTGTAGAGAAATGTATGAATATAAATTGTAAAAGTTAAATTTATGGAGAGACTATACTTAAAAGTTGATAAAACAGTACTACTTTTTGTCATTGAATTGCAAATGAAGATAACAATATTAGGTATGTTTTGAACATATTTCATCTTGAAGCCTTAACATAATGTTTATAGAGGCTTTTAAAAAGACTGAAGTTAAAAAATTACTTTATTCCAAATCATAGAATCATGAGTATTAAAGACGACTATAAAAAAGTGATGTTGTTGGGAGCCAGAATATAGGGTGTGAGAATTCAAAGTACATGCCTTAGTCTGAATTTGATAATGCTACCCGAGATAAGTAGTGATCTCTTTCATTAGAATTCTTTGGCTGTTCTAGTTTATAAAGTAGACTTTTTATTAACTTCAGTATTCATTGTTATCCTCAATATTTGAAGATGATGTTCTTATGAGACTTTACCACATAGTAAGTCCTTTGATGAGGATTTACCAAATATGTTTGATGGTATCGAAAAGCTATTGCTGTTTGTTTGTCTCTGTTTGTTAATGGTCCTAAGTTGCCATTATTGTCCTGACTCACCCATTTTATTTGAACCATCAAGCTTTGAGAATACCAGAAATACTAGAGCATGTCGTTTTGGTTTTAATAACCCTCTACTTCCTACAAAACATGCTAGGTTTTCTTTTTTTGTAATTTCTTTGTAGAAGGTCAGTGTGTCAGTACAAGGTCAATATTAGTAAAAATCTGCTTATACTGCTAAAGAACCCCATTATTAATATATTTACTATTAACATGCAAGTATATAGGAATAATGTGTTCTTGATATCTTAAAATTTGCTGAGTTTTCTCTATTAGATATTTAAGTCTACTTATACTTTGAAAACTGTTTTCTTTGCTTTCTTTTTTTTTTTTTTTTTTTTTTTGAGATGGAGCCTTAACTCTGTCACCGAGGCTGGAGTGCAGTGGTAGAATCTCACTCACTGTAGCCTCTGCACCCCGACCACCCCGACCCCCAGGTGCCAGTGATTCTCTTGCCTCAGCTTTACCTGGGTAGCTGGAATTACGGGTATATACCCCATGCCCGGCTAATTTTTGTATTTTTAGGAGAGATGGGGTTTTGCCATGTTGGCCAGGCTGGTCTCAAACTCCTGACCTCAGGTGATTGCCTGTAACCAGGTGTCCCAGGTTCTTGACCTCCACGGCCCCAGGAATGGGGAACAGGCCCTGGAGATGCCATGGGCTTACCGTTGGTATAAATATCAAGGACCCAAAGAGTTTTGCAGAGAACAATTTATTAGGCAGAGAGAGAGACAGAAGTAGAGAGAACTTCCACGCTGTTGTGGGAGGGGATCCCAGAGAGGGAAATCTGCACAGGTAGAGAGGGAAAGACAGCTCCCACGTTGGAGGGCATCCGGAGAAGGAGTCCGCACAGGTAAGAGGCAGTGGGGATTTAACTCTGAAGTTATTCCCACCTCGTTCATGTTCTTTTCCAATGAGAGGAGTTTTTTTTAAAACTTCCTCTGGAGTGATTGATCTTTGACTCTGATCCCAGATTGGTTGCTTGGGCCAAGAGCCACTCCTTCCAGGGCTCTTGGTGGGCTTTCTGAACAAAGGAAGCTCACATGGAATTTTACACAGCCTGCTCGGGAAAGTTAGACAAAGAACTCGAAGTTCCCGGATGGGGAGGTGGATGGAGGCATGACGCTGGGAAGTTCTTGCCTTTGAAACCATGTCCTTTGTGGACCCAAGAAGAGAAGTTAACATAGTCCCTCACGCCCGCCTCAACCTCCCAAAGTGCTGGGATTACAGACATGAGCCACCGTGCCTAGCCTTCTTTGTTTTTTTGTTTTTTATTTGCAAGACTGTTGGATTGAAGTGGGAATGTAGAGAATAGAATCTCATATACATCAAGCATTGGCAACAAAACATTTCCCAGTTTTTATGTTATTTTCCCTTTGAATTTTCAATCTGGTTTGTAATAGTTAAATATACTTATTTCTCTTTATCTTAAAAATGCTCCTTTCACTATATATTTCCTCCAGTCACTGCCTTCTTTGTATTACGAGACATAACCTTTTTTCTAGAAAGAATAGTCTGTTATTTTCTACTCTGTTGCATTTTTTTATCAAGCATACTTGCTTGCTTATCAATCTGCTTATTTGTAAGTATGGCAAAGTATAATTTGCATACAATAAATATGAACCAATTTTAAGTGTATATTTCAATGAGTTTTGACAGATGTAAGATATACAAGATTTCCTATTCATGATATTCAGCATTTATGTTATTCCAAATAGTTGCCTCTATACCTTTTACATTCTATTTCCCCCATCCCAGGCAACCGTTAATATAGTTTCTATTATTATAGTTTAGTTTTACATGTTCTGGCACACCATATAAAGGCCACACAGTATATGCTCTTTTACTGTCTTTCTTCCCTCTGCCTAATGGTTTGGGTAGGGGGCAGTAAAATACACCTAACACAAAATGTACCATCATAACCATTTTTAAATGTACAATTGAGTGGCGTTAAGTACCTTCACAGTGCTGTGCAAACATCTCTACCATCCATTTCTAGAACTATTTTAACATCACAAACTGAAACTGTATCCATTCAATAATACCTCCTCATTCTCCTTTCCCTCTTGCCCCTGTTAACCACTGTTCTGTGTGTCTCTATATAAATTGGACTAATTAAAGTAACTCATGTAAGTGAAATCATACAATGTTTGAACTCTGTGTCTGGCATATCGTTTTTAGTTGTTTTCAAGTTGTTGTGTATGAGTGCTCATTTTTTTTTTAATGTTGAATAGTATTTCATTATATGGCTGTACCTTGTTTCTTTATTCTATTAATGGTCATTTGGGTTCTTTAGGTTTTTGCCTTTTATGAATGAAGCTTCCATAAATATTCATGTACGAGTCTTCCTATGAACATAATTATTTTTCTTCAGTAAATGCTCAGTTGTATGTTGTGTGTTTATAACTTCATAAGAAACTTCCAAACCGCTTCCCAGCATGACTGTACTATTTCACATTTCCACTAACAACTTATGTGAGTTCATTATTCTGTATACTCACGAACTCTTGGTATTGCCATTTCTTTAAATTTTAGCCATTCCAATGAGTGTAGTGATTTCTCCTTGAGGAATTAATTTGTGTTTCCCCAATGACTAATGTGTTTATTGGTATGATAATCTCATTATAATAATATGACTAATGAGTCATTCTTCCTTTGTCAAGTGTCTGTCAGTTCTTTTTCCTTTTTCCCACCCATCACATTCTCTTCTTAATATTGAGGTGTTAAGAGTTCTTCATATGTTCTGTACATGAATTGTCAAATATGTGTTTATTCTCAGCCTGCAGCTTCCTTTATAATTATTTTAATGTTTTCTCTTGATAAAATTTTTTATCTTGACAAAGTTCAGTTTATCAATTTTTTCCTTTTGTGGTCCATGCTTTTAGAGCTCTATCTATGAAGTCCTACCCATCACAAATTGCAAAGATTTTTTTTCTATGTTAGAAAAGACTTCCTACAGAATTACATTAGCCTCCTTGTCAAACTCAGTTGACCATATATGCATGATCTATTTCTGGACTCTTTGTTTCATTCATTGATGTGTATGTCTATCCCTGTGCCAACACTGCACTGACTTGATTAATTTTATATTGTCTTAAAATCAGGTAAATTCTATAGCTTTGTTCTTGTATTTGAAAATTGTTTTGACTCTTTGAGATCCTTTGCATTTCACTATATTTTTAGAATCAGCTTGTCAGTTTCTAAAAGAAAATTGTTTTCTGGAGTTTTGGTTGAATTGTATTGGACTTAAAGGTCAATTTGAAGAAAACTAACATTACTGAGTCTTCCAATTTACAAAAAGTTATCTATTATTTATTTAAATGTTCTTTAATTTGCCTAGGCAGTGATATGTAATTTTCAGGTCATAGGTTTTGTTATATGTATCCTAAAGTTATATGTGTCCTAAAGTAAATGATGTTATTTAAAATTTTATTATACATTCGATATTTATTTTTTGATTGCTCATTTGAAAAAACAATAGAATTTTTTTTATATATATTGGCTTGGTATCTTTTAACCTTTTAAAATTTTCTTGTTATAGTCATTTTTTGGTAGAATCCTTTGGATTTTGCACATAAAAGATGTCATCTACAAATAAAAACAGTTTTGCTCTTTTCCTTTCCAATCGATAGATGCTTTATTTTTCTTGCCCTTTTGCATCAGGTAGGACCTCCAGTACAATGCTGAATGAAAGTGGTGAGTGGACATCCTTGCCTTTTCTTGTTGATCTTAAATCTTTCACCATTGTGTGCAATGTAAGCTGTAGATTTTTTAGTAGATGTTCTTTATCAAATTGAGCAAATTTATTTTTGTTTCTAGTTTATTGAGAGTTTTTA